GAGACGCCGCCTACTCTCGTCTCCCGATGACAAGACAGCCACCACCATACTGTCTACTCTGTACGCCATAGAGCGTCCCGAAGGATGGCTAGTCTGTTCTGCCACTCTGCGTCGCCAATTGTTGCCAAGGCAAGTGACTGCAGAAGCTGGTTATTGACCACCAGTGGGAACGAGGGCGTTCTGTTTCCGCGTATCGCACTAGTCCGTTGGGATCCCATTTCTTGGCACAATGTCCCGACAACAACATCAGCCGTCATTTGAAATGTCCAAAAGAGGGAGCTGGGATTGACTCCAATGATCGAAAATCCTGCTCTCGACAAAGATTCATGAACAGGTGGCTTCGCATGTCACCGCCATACCTCCTCCGTCATCCGTTCACCCGTCCACCCGTCCACCCATACAAACCCTTGCTTTCTTCCAGCTGTCGCTTTTGGGTTCCTGGCCTCCAGATATCGGAGCAAGACTATGGATACCCACCTCGGGATTGTGCTGTTGGAGCGTTACAGAGAGAAGCGAACCATCACCAGGGGTTCCCACCCCTTAAGCGGACGAGGCAAATCATAACAGTCCCGGCGCCGGGGCACCGTGCCGTTCTCTCGCGACATGACGACAAGATTTCGGCCCTCCCTCCGAACGCGGGGATCCCCCCCAAACCTGGATGGGCGCCTGTGAGCAAGCCACCCATCGTATGGTAACACAACACAGACACACAATCGCCGCCGTCAGCGATGAAGCTAGCGAGCCACATTTCCATACGGACGGGCCAGGCCACCTGCATATGTCTGGTTTGGAGTCTAGACGCACGCATGCCGACTTTCAGATCCGACTTGCACCCGTGACTAAGCCAATTTTTTGACACGACATCTGACAGCTTCGTCAACTACCACAACCAACGCTGGCTAAACATTCAAGCAACTTTGACCGCCCGAAATTGGGGTTTGGGGTTCGGCAGTATCCTAAAGTTCGCATCACCCCCACAGCACCGTCGGCGCACCGGCAGTTGGCTCGTCTACCAATGGCAACCCCGATGAATCGTATTTACTTCCCGTTCTGCGATCCCGGCTCTCTACCAGCTCATCAAAGGACCAAGGGGAGTTAGGGAATATCGCAGCATCCCCCTCATTCTCGATCGCTTCCCCGCTTCTCCAGCTGATAATGGACCCCGAGCTTACCTCCGATCCCCCACATGCCCCTCCATATGAGGCTCCGTGCCGTCTACTTCATAAGTAACCCCTGAGACGGCATTATCAGAAACTTTGGTCCAGCTGAGCTTTGCAATTCAATACCCTTCAAGACGAATACTACAGCACCATACCAGACACAATGGCAGACCCCAAGGATCTGAAGATTGCCATTATTGGCGCAGGTACTCGCCGCCTGGCTCACGGATCTTGAAGACCGTTCACTAACACGAACTTGCGTAGGAATGGGCGGCTTGGGTTGCGCCCTTGCATTGGCCAAGAAGGGATTCAAGCACATCGATGTCTATGAGACGGCCTCCAACCTCGGCTTCGTCGGCGCCGGCATTCAGATGCCGCCAAACGTCGTCCGCGTACTCGATCGCCTAGGCTGCTGGCCTGAGATCGAGAAGACGTGTACAGACGTGAAGAGTTCAAGCATTCGACGTAAGGAGGACCTCTGCACCACCACATCACCTTGCCAAGCACAACGTTACTGACATATTAGCACAGAGGGCGCCACCAATGTTGAGCTCGCCCATGTCGAGATGCCCGACATTCGGAATTTGTACGGCTTCCCGCACTGCAACGGCCACCGCTCCTCCCTTGCCGGTGGCATGTACGACGCCTGTAAGAATGAGTCCGCCATCACATTCCACTTCGCGACGGCACTACTATCGGTCGAATCCTTTGCGCCCAAGCCAAAGTTCGTGCTGCAGCCGCGCGACGGCGAGTCTTACGCAGTCGAGTCCGACGTTCTCATCGCTTGCGACGGCATCAAGAGCATCATTCGCGCCCAACTGCTTGAGTCTATCGGCGCCGTCGGTGGGGAAGAGGATACGGGCCAGGCTGCCTACCGCATCATGCTCAAGCGTGAGCAGATCGCTGATGACCCAGAACTCCTCGCCCTCCTCGACTCGGACGAGGTAATCCGCTGGATCGGCGAGAAGCGTCACATCATCGCCTACCCCGTCTCCTCGCACACAATCTACAACCTCTCCACCACCCAGCCTGACTCCAACTTTGCCGTCGCCACGAACGCAACCTACACCACAAAGGGCTCCAAAAAGGCCATGCTCGACGTCTTCCATGACTTCTGCCCCCTCGTCCACCGCATGCTCAACCTTGTACCGGACGGCGAGGTCTGCGAGTGGCGCCTACGCATGCACAAGCCCTTACCGACCTGGGTTCACACCGACGGGCCTGTCGCTCTTCTCGGTGACGCCTGCCATCCAACCCTCCCGCACCTGAGCCAGGGCGCCGCCATGGCCATCGAAGATGGTTCCGTCGTCGCCGAGGTCCTCGCCCGCGCGCCCGACACGTCTCCCGCGACGCTCCGGCGCTGCCTCAAAGCCTACGAGCTCTCCCGGCGCGACTGGACCTCGCAGCTCGTCAACATGGCCTTCCTCTCGGGCAAGCAGCTGCACCTCGGCGAGGGCAAAGCCAAGGAGGAGCGCGATCGCATGTTTGCCGAGTCCAAGCAGACCGGCGCTGTGCCGGATAAGTGGGCCTCGCCCGACGTGCAAAAGATGATTTATACAAATGACTGCGTGGCCAACATCCAAAGAGACTTTGACGAGTTCTTCAGTAGCGTAGCATAGAAATGGAACGGCAGATCATATGATGCTCACTTTGTAGATACCTCAGTCTGTTTAATTTTTTGGTGGAGTTTCGGTCTTCACTTCTGCCCCCCGAAACTTCTCTTACACGTGTAACGTGAAAGTCTCCGTGACGTTGCGCCTAGGATGCTTGCGTCCTCGGCCAAGCCACTCTCGATGAAGCATACCCCGCACTCGAGAGCTCAGCTTACCTAGGCTTTGCCGATAGGAATTCACAGTCGCACAATTTTAGAGTTTAGTCAAGTGGACTACATGTTCCCGAGGCGTATCCGTGATGATATTATGCTATGCGATGAAAAAAGCTATCGAAACTCCCGGATCCCACCGGGTTCGAAAATCACCAAAAGGAGCACAAAAGGCCCTCGCAGGAGTGAATAAGGGCTCGTTTCCCTGTAAAGCATACCCGTCTCTCAAGCCCACGACAGAAAAAGTTGTTGTTCCCGGATTCCACCTCGAGGGATTTAGAATCCCCTTCATCCCTTTGACGCCGTCCGAGACATGCAAGAGAGTCCCCCATGCCTACGACGATGAGAAAAGCGCAATGTCGGCTGTACCCCTTCAGACTCTGGTAACCCCTTATCAAAGCCGGCGAAGGGTCTTCTCGTGTATCTTCCCACGCTATGCCATGCATTTCTCAGCACCGCAACGGGCCCAGACCGGGTATCATCATACGCTCCCTCCTTACTGCGTCCCCTTCTCTCCTGCCATCATCCCGTTCGAAGTGGGTACTGCTCATGACGTTCGAGCCGCAAAGTACTTTAGTTGTTGAGGGTATCGTGTGGTTTGTTTCGCAATGTCACTCCGTATAATCTGGCCCCTTGAACCAGACGTTCGCAAGCCGCCCGCTTAGAACAAGCAGTCAAGACAGCAGCAGCACGCGAGCGCACCGAGCAGACCAGCCATGATGCCGCCTCCCGAGCCGCCGCCGCGGTTGTCCTGGTAGTAACCGCCTTGCGGCGGGTACTGCTGTCCGTACTGGCCCTGGGGTGGGTAGGGTCCTTGGGGAGGATATTGTCCCGGGGGGTACTGCTGTCCCGGAGGCGGGTACGGGCCCTGCTGGTGGCCGTAGTTCATCTCCGGGCCGGGGGAGTAGTATTGTCCCGGCGGAGGAGTGCCGTAGCCTCCTGGGCCGCCGGGGGGAGGCGGGGAGCCGTAGCCTTGGTAGGCTTGTTGCGGGTGTTGAGGGGGGGGACCGCCGTACGCGGGAGGCTTGTCGTGGTCGGCCATTATTTGGGATGGGAGTTGGTTGTTGCTTGTGATGGATGAAGATGAGAGTGGTAGGCGCGACGGGTTCGGGTTGTGTCGCGGGTTGGGTGAGAGGTAAAGTAAATTACTTTTCGGTTTGCCTTTCGACGACGATTGCAAAAAAATACAAAAGAAGGCAAGGAAGTCCGTTTGCTTGAAGCGGTGCGGACGAGATCCCCTTTGTCGGACGGAGGCAGCGGAGGGCTCGGAGGCGGGATTACGTGTAGAGGATGGAGGAAGAAGAAGACTGCAAGCGGCGGATGGCGAAGGGGAAGAAAAACCGGTGTGAAGAGTTTAAGGAACGGGTATCGAAAAGCCACACACACACACCTCTGGATAGAGAGAATGAACACACCACCCGGAAGAACGTGGCGATGTTGGGGAAAATGAATGGGAGGAGGAGGACGTGCGTTGCGTGCGTGGATGGATTGGGCGGGAGAGAGCCAAGCCGCGATTTTGGAGGGAGGCAACCTGCCTGACCCTTGTCGGTGTAGGTACCTTATGTTCGCCTGGCCGCACCTGGTGGTCGCCTGCGACTCTCGTTTCGACACACTCCAGGTCTCTTTCGTTTTAGCGGGCGGCGTTAAGTTTGCGGGTTTGCTCGTGACTCTAGCCTGAAATAGGCTTATGCGCACCAAGTCTCTGGGCGCGCGCCGCGGGCGAGTCTTGGGGGTCTTGGGGTCTTGGAGTGTTCGTAAGCTTGTCTTTGCCCATGTATCTTTTTGTTGGGTCTCTCTTTGCAGTGTAATTGCGATGGGTATCCGTATGTCTCCGTTTTGGACGGAGGTTCCCCGTTCACTTGCATCTTCAAGCCATACGGATTCTGGGCTACTTTACCGGATACAATTCATGGAAACAGGAAAGCAGCGGTCTAGACACACCATGGAGAAAGTAGGTTCAGCGAAGCTTCCTGCACAAGCTCTCCTCACCTCCTTCGTCCCATCTTCTCCGAGTAGGTATGCGCGACACAAGGCGACAAGCGTCGGAGGGAAACAGATACACAGCATCAAGCAGTACCTGCCTGGCGTCCAAAGCAAGCGCCTGTGACATTCGCCAGCCCCAAACTGTCCCTGTCTCAAATCCGTCCGCCTTCCCCTTCTCCTTCTCCTGCCTTGCTCCCCACCAGTCAAGCGCACCCAACCATCCCGCAACGAAGAAACCACCCCTGGCCCTTCGGCTCCCCGGCAAAGACCCCAGCAATCCAATGAGAGGCCAGTCGCCCATCCCAAAGGTCGCGTTCGCATTGCCCCATCTGATCACGCCCGTTGCTACTGCAGCGCTGCTGGTGCCTGAGCTCCTTCCCACGGGGCCACGACAGAGTGCTGCCGCCGTGCCGGAGCGGCATGCACCCAATCAGCGGCATCACCGGCGCAGTAGGGTACCTTGATCAAGCTGCAAGGTCATCAAGTGCTATGTTTGGAGCAGAACCGCCCTGCCCGCTTCGGCCTGCACGGGTCACTGGGCCACTGGCGAACGTAGCATGTCACCAAACAAGGTGCCCAAAAAGGCAGGACGGGATTGAGTCGGCGCGGCGGCCCTTCGCCGACGGAGGAGAAGTAGATCCACTGTTACCGCTGACGCTTCCGATATCTTCGGCCCCGGCGCCGAGGTTGTAGGAAGCATCCGGGCCGTCTTCGGTCCCCTTATCTCCGACATCTTCTCCGTCCCTTTGATTCTGCCAGAGGTACCGGTAACAACACTCACTTCGTGGTGAAATCTGAGTGGCGAGGCCTCGGAAATAATTACTCTCGTAATCCTCAACAGACTTGGTATGCTTTCAGTATACCCGGGAACACTAACTTGGAGGGAGGAGCGCGTAGCCTCGCCGCCGTCCTTGGTTTATGGGAAAACGTAATGAAGTCCAGCAACGTGAGCAGTCCAAGTTGATCACGTCATGAAAAGCGTCATTTTCGAATTAGGCCTACAGAGTGTCCATGTTTACTAAATGAGATCACCCTGTCGGATCAAGATCGAAGTCAATAGGTCTAGCGATGAAGCCCTCGGTTGTGCAAAGCAAGCAATGCGTCAAGAAAGGTACCGAACGAAAGAACAGTTGCCCAGCTTGATCACCGTAGACTTCACGCCAGGGCGGCCATACTCTGATTTGATCAAGCGGTAGGCTTGTTACTTTGACCAGCTCACATCAAGTATCGAAGTCTCCCCTCGCGCCACTCAGAGAATAGGGCTTAACTTCCCGTATAGATTCGCATCACTGAGTGAGCGTCGTTCGCGTCCGTATGTCTCGACACCCCTTCGAACAACCGACAAAGGTCATGTAAGCGAGCGTTCGATAGCCCTCCGCACATTCACTCTCATGTCCCATAACGTTACCACGACTTTTGACTTAATAACGCAAGCCACGTACTGAAAGTAACCTGGAACATGGAAACGAGAGGTAAGTCATGCATATCCAGGAGAGAACGCCGGCGAACCTTGAGGATCAAGGAACGAAGGAAGGAACAACAGGGTAGAACATCATCTCCCTCTTCTTGTGTTACTCGTGAGTACGTGTTTAAAATATCGTGAGGGACCGACTCTAGGGCCGGTGGAGGTTTGACTTCTCCAGGTTGAAGTCATAGGAAAACGAACAAATTGCCTAAGTAGTTGCAACACCAGCACAGCCACGGTATTAACAAGTGTCCTAAATATGTGATGAGCTCGCTAGTAAGGTACTTTTCATTTGCGCCCGCCATAGAAAATAAACACAGCAAAGGGACACGCAGTACTCGCTGCTTGTAAGTCGACAGGGCCGGTTGTACATACACTGTGGTCAGTGGAGGCAAAATTTCAACAGCACAAACACAATCTTTGCAAAAACCAAGTAACCAACCAATTATTCAAGCAAAACAGAAAAAAAGCATCGAATCGGAGTGATAAGCAAAACAAAATTTCCGAAACCGAGAATCGAACTCGGGGCTATGCCTAACCTCGCAAGTTAATGAGAGGGCATCATGTTGGCCACTACACCATATCGGATGTTGTTGAAAATCCCGACAAAATAATCATCTCAGTACCATACTTTCGCCTCGCAGCCAGAATTTCATTGGTACAGCTCAAACCACAACACAACCTACTGCATGTTTTTCCCACGTTCACGATATACGATTAATATCGATAGCATTGAGTTTCCTCGGAAATCGGAATTCCCAGCTTTTTTCTCTCCTTTAGATTATCACCCAGCCAAGTGTTCCTCGACATGCTGGCAACATGACCCAAGCTCTCTTCCCCAAACCGCTCTGCCTCACTCTCACTTACACCTGCGCTCGTGACCACAGAAAAAAAAAAAAAAAAAAAAAGGAAGAGAAAAAGAGAAAACCTTCCGACCAAAACCCTCAGCCACCACCGAATCATTGATCATGTATCCGTGACTGTAGGAAAACTTTCAGAAATCGCTGGCAAATGTTGTCATCGCTGTGCATCGCTTCGCTATTTCGGATCAAATGGAGAAGAGACGATGTGTTGGAGGACCAAAGGCACGCAAGGCTTAGGAGGTGGGAAACCAAAAAATCCCGCTTTCAGTAGGTAGTGATGATGAATGGATCAACGTCGCTTCGCTTCGCTCTCAATGGCTCAGGGTGGCCCCGAGGGTCGGTAGTCCTCGTCTTCGCAAGTCGCTATTTACTTCTTCGGCGTGCTCGAGAAAGTGTCCTTGCATTGAGTCCCAAAGAGATGCCGGCGGTACTATCAACGCTCGTTAGCCCACATCCCTCTTCGTTCTCTCCAAATCGAAAACCTCTTCCTTACCTTCCAGCACGCCGCTCCTTTCCAACGCATATTGTGTCACCGCGCAGTGAGTGCTGATTTGGAACATAAAACCTGCACCAGAATGTCAGCCGCGGTGCAATGGGTGTTAATGCTTCCCCTCGCTATCCTTACCGAGAAAGCCTTCTCCCACGCGTTGAGCCTTCAGCTCATTGGTAGTCGCTTGCACAAACGCCTCATGGGTTTCTGCAGCCCCTTGTTAGTATCTGGCCTCTTGTCTGAGAAAAGGACCTCCTGTATCCGTACCTCCATGCGGCATGAAGCTCGACTGGAAACTCAGGCCACCAGCTTCCAGATTGCGACTGGTGCCCTTGTAACCGCCATACACGATTCCCACCACCTCCGTCGACATATTTCGATGATAATACTACGCCCCGTTAGCCACGACATTTGCCACACCCCAGGAAAAAGAGAAACACAACGTACGGGAGGTCGAAAGGTATTCGTCGCCGAAGACCACTTTGGCGTGAAGAACATGACATCTGTTGCGGGTATACCGGGCATCTTGGACTTCGCCGTCAAGACGGTGTACAAACTGGGGTCGGCTTGGTCCTTGTCCACGAAGGCGGCATTGACAAACTTCTCGGCGGCATATTTGAAAGGCACATAGCTATGAGACGATGTGAGCACCTAGATGGAATAAAATGGGGGGAGAGGGTCTTGGAGCGGGCGTTTCTCTTACTTGCCATCCCATGCAACCACGTCAAAGGGCGTGTGGTTCTGTTTGCAGGACCACAGCTTTCCAGCCAGTTTATACACGACTAACACGCCGCGTCAGTCAGCGTGGCCACGTCTTGGCAAAACTGATAGGGCAGACTTACTTTCCCACTCTGACGTATCCATGTCAAATGAGGCGACGGGGAACTCGAAATCGCGAGGCAAAGCCATCCCGTTGCTTCCGAGCGGCCCCAGTTCTGGCAGCTCGTACCGGCTTCCGAATATCTCTTGGATGTCTAAGCCCATCAGTTGGATGTCCTCTCATGCATATGGGCATCGTCAAATGACTCACAACCCCGGGCCGGACCATCCGGCAACCCGACCTTGAAGCGGATGCCACTCTGGATCACCGCCAGCTCGCCAGGCCGAACCATCATTCTGGAAAGGTCGTCAACAGATTTTCGTCACCGACTGGAACAGGTGACTGCCCACCTCCCGAATTCTGTCTGAATGTCCAGCCTGCCAGTCTGAGGCACGAAAAGCATGTCGCCATCATTGCTGCAGAATGCGCGCTTTTTCATGGAAGAATTTGCAGCGTACACGTGTACAGCTAAGCCGTCCTTGGTCGTCGAGTCGCCATTCCCAACTATCGTCTTGAGCCCCTGGACGAAGTCGATAGCCGGCCCATCCGTCTTTGGCACCGAGAATGCTCTCCAACAGAGTCCTCCGGGAACAAACTCGACATTCTCATTTCCAGACGTAAATCTTGACTCAATCTTGACGGCAAAAATATGTCAGGGGTGGGTCCAGTTTGAAAGTGGTTGCGTTATGGGTAGATGGAAGGGGATCCAAGGAATGAGAAATGACTTACATCTGGGTTTCGTGGCTTCTTTGAGATATCTCCGTGAGCCACAGATGGGAAAATCCGGTAGAACCAGGCATTTTGTATGTCAGTTCGAGAGGCAACAAAGGTAGAACCGTTGAGCTGCTCGGAATAAAGGTTGTACTTTACTCTTTGCGGTACATTACATGATCGAGGTAGAGTCCCGGGACTTATTGGTGAGCTCAGACTCTTGATCAAGAATTGGGTAACGCCAACTTACATGGCTTCAGAAGAGAATCTGTTTCCAAATCCAACTTGATAGATATACGGATCCTCCGGAGAGGAGTCCGTAGTGAAAGCGTGTTGGGCAGAGGCGCCCATTGTCAATACGGGGTCTGAGGCCATAGGATACCTCTCAGAGTTGGGAATGATGGCTCCCATGGTTAGTTGATGTGTGAAGGAAGGCGAGAATAGATGTGAATCTAGACGGTAATGGCTTCTCAAGGAGGTTTGGTGAGTGTTGTGAAATGCAATGGCTGTGTTGTCACAGACGGAAGTAGACGGGCATCACGAGTGATAAATGCCATGTTCCACAAACGACATTTGTGGCGTCTCCAACCGGTCACTATTGACGGGCACAACTAACTTTGGCTCGAGAGCAGGCCCTTGCATCCGATGACACTAAAAGAGATCAATCGGACCAGCGTTCGGTCGCGCAGAGCACCATCATAGACAGATTTATCTCATGGAAGTTTTTGGTACCAGCAGTACTTACAGTCGGTACGTATTCCCAAGTGGCCGGGCGAAGGAACGTCCCGCCCATTGCCTGCCGGCATGCAGGAGCACAAAAACTGGGTTCCTGGGCATCTGGTGTGCCTCGTCTCCCCCTCCCTTCTGCACCCCCCACCATGAACACCGATTTGCTGCAACTCAAACTGAACAAACCCCTTCAGGTATTGGCCAGATCTCAGGATGTCACCAGAAGAGCGAAACACTAGTGCAATGCCTTCTGAGAATGGGTCGATGTAAGCTTTGGCCAACATTCGCCTTTGCGCTACAGGGCGGCCTTAGTGGGAAATATCAGGTTAAAGCAGGCCCAATTTCTCGCACAACGGTCGAGTTGATGACCGCAATTTGGTCCGGGC